CCCCTTCTCTCCACCCTCCCTCTCATCCCCATTCCCCTCCCCCTTCCCCACAAGACTCTCAAAACACCTCCCCCTCACTCCCTCCGCCGTCGCATTAAAACAAGCCACAAACCCCTCCCCCGCCTTCCCATCCGTAATATTACAATACGCAAACCCACACCCCGCAACCCCAAAGCGCGCAATCGGACTATCAATCCCGCAGCACGTTTGGAAGATACTCTCGTTCCCAAGAGAGTTTGAGGAGTCGGAGGAGATGGAGGAGTTCAAGACATCGTGATGTGAGGGCGTGGTGGTGAAATTGGTGGAGACGACGCAGGCGAAGCCGGGAGAGGTGTAGAGGTAGGGTGGTGGAATGAGGGAGAGGTTTTGTGGGGTTTGGCAATGGGGGGCGAGGTGGGTTGTTAGGGGTTGGATGGACATTGTCTTTTTTGTTTTCTCTTCTCTCCTGGTTTCCCCCCTTTTTCCCTCTTTTTCAGGGTCTGGGTGTCGTTGCTGTTGAGGTTGAGGTGAATTTATCGTATACGACTCGATCCCAAAGGACAAGACCAAATCGCAACGAGCTCTCAATCCCAAGCCCAAAGTTCGATTGTCGTCTTCGACCACAATGCCAATGCCGCATCCGTTGTCTGGGGAATCGATTTTTTTGACTTTGTGACCCCCCCCGTCGACGATGCTTGGAAGGAAAGAAAGAACGAGGAAACCACCGACCAGCACCTGAACCGTTCGTCTCGTCGATCACCCGCAAAATATCCCTACTTACCCCGACTTCAATCTCGCCCGTAATCTCAAATCCAATCTCAATCTCAATCTCAGCCTCGTCAATCTCCACCTGTCGCCGCTGTCGTCTCATCCAATATCACTAAAAGGAAGACAATCCACATTCAAATCCACACAGAAACAACGCAAAACCAACAAGAACAATTCCACGACAGCAGACCAGCATCACCACCACCACCAGCAGCATCTCATCGACACTAATATACCAACCCCCAAAGCCACAACAACATGAAACACAAACCTCCTGCTGTGCCCATCAAGGCATCACCAACGTCGTACAACAAGGCTGAACGCATCCCCGCCTCTTCCTTCTTGAATCCTTCACTCTCAGCCTCAACCGAAGCCAGGAAGCTCTGTACTCTATTTCGGGAACTTTCCAACCACCCGCTTACAGTAGGAAAGTGTTGATTGGCCCCCTCGCCCGATCGACAACAGGGAATCTATTAATGAGCATGCCATGCCATGCATATGATCCGCCCGTACGGGACAGGAACGAAAACCTTTACTCCAGGAACCTTTCTTCCCCTCGGTTCGTTGTGAAGCATGGAGATCTTATCAATCTAGAGATAAGAAGACGGATAGAAGCTTGGTTTATGCGATGGAAGTTTCTGAATTGCATTGCTTCAACATGTGAAATTGGAAGGCCCGCAAAGCGGAGGGTCACGTGGTGTTGAAAAGACATTTGAATTTGAATTTGAATTTTGGCGTCCTCAAGACTCCAATAAATGAATAAAGTACCGTAACATTCGAAAGGTGGGAGATATCAATGATAGTCAGAAAAGAAAGGATATATTCATCATTATCCAATAAACTCCACGCTATAAGCCAATGCCAACAATCTCCAACCCCAAATCAATACTGATACAAGAATCTATCAAGAAAAACCAACAGATACAGAACATAACACATCCAACCCTAACACCGGTCTGCTCCACGCCAGGCAGACTATGTACATTATATCTTCGACTCCAAATATCGGAATATTTAAAAATTTTTAAGCAAGTATAAAAGCGGTGACAATAAAAGCCACAACCAAATCACTAATCTTCGCACTCATCTGCGGACTAGCAGCACTCCTAATCTTGATCTCCGCCAACTTGAAGGTTGGGTAGTAAGGCGGTGGGGTCTTGGTGTCCAAGGATCCATCCCAGCAATATCTCTGGAAGCATGTGTTGCAAACTTCTGGTACTTGCGTGTTAGTTTTGAAGAATGATCGACTGAGGGTTGCGCAAGCCATGCAGGTTGGCCATTCTCTGTCGAGGGTACCATTACCCATCGTTGCCATGTCGTAACCATTCTCGATAATGGCGTTGCGGACGGCATCAGTGTAGGAGGGTGTGAATGTGGTTACGTTGGAGTTGAAGATATATGGTGTGTTTGGTATGTATACAATGAGGGCTATTTACTGTTAGAAAGTCCGAGAACTTTGAGAAGATATTGAAGAAGCTCTGATATTTCACTTACGAGCAATACCGTTCTGCCCGTCGGTCTTGTTGTTGGCGTCACATCCAAAGAATGTTGGTCGTTGGTTAAATCCCTTGTTGACAAAAGTTTTGATGTCAGGTATTGAGGGGAAAGCGGTCCCGTTCTGAATGGTAGCATTCAATGAACGACGATAGGTAGCTACCAATGAGGCTCCATTTGGCCAAGTATCTAGAATGTGTCAGATATGTGACACGGATGAACGTGAAGGGAGTACAGAGATCGCTAGATGCTGACAAACAAGGGATAAAGGGATGTGTAACTTACGAGTATCAACGTCCTCATTATCAGCCGAAGAGTCAATGGCAAAAACAACATCGACTCCTCGCTCAGGTTGGATAAGAGGATACAAAGGAATGTTTTGAAGATCCAATCCTCCGTCAACCATAGTTAATTCTTTATTCTGGGCATTACGATTGGTGGCATTGTTGTACCCAAAGAACGGATTGGGTTGGTATTGCGCGATATCATTGTTATCTTCTCCAAACTCGCTGAGAACATCTGTGAAGATACTACGCAAAAATGATGGGATAGCGGTGCTGTTAATATTAAGCAAAAAAGAGTTGAACAGTGAGGACGATGTGCCCATCACATAACCGGCTTGATCAAAGCCACGAATGCATTGCTGGCCTTGCACCACAGACCCGCCGGAAAAGTTGGATCCAAGATATTGAGTTGGAACAAACCCGTAAGTAGTTGGATCCCAAGAACCAAATTCAAAAGGATTAAATTCATACACGGTTGAGTTCAGAGAAATGATCATGGTATTTGGCGATCGTTCGTCTGCCACAACGAGTGGAAACGGGGTTTGGCCATTTTTGAAATTATCCGTTTCAGCGATGGAACTGAAAGTGTAGGCTGGACCTCCATTGCTGGCATTGACCAGCTGGAAGGAGAGAGCACGTCCCCAGTAATCCGTAATAGAGGTATTGAACCCTAATCCGGCATTGGCCTTGGTGCTGACCTCATCCGAGATTGTTCGGAAATAGTCTGCAGTCGACAAAACTTGGATACCCTGGGTATCTGGCCCTTCGAAAATTGAGTTACCAAGTTTCCAGATGGACGATCCCCTGCTGCCATCACGAAGAGTCTCAACGGAACTGAAGTTGTTTGTAAACATGCTTCCAACGAGCCAGCTCCCTCCACTAAGCCCAGCTAAATAGGTCGTTGCTTGTAATAGACCGCCAATTTGACCACTGTTCGTTGAGTTTCGCGTTCGGTCGTCTGCAGCGGCCAAAAACCCAGCCCCGTTCAACATGGCTCTGTAGCCTCCACCGGAAGCCGCAATTCCAATATTAGGGAGTTGCGACGTATTTCCCTTGACTCTATTGATGTATGCCGCAGCATCGAATCCAGAAATGTTCATTCTTGTCAACCATGATATCATGGGGTCAACGGTTGCCGGCCTTCTCGTCTGTAGCCATGCCGCCTCGCTTGGTGAAAGACTTCCTGCGGCTCGAATCGTGGGTCGCGTGGAAGGGCAATCGACTGCTGCTGGCGCATAACCCCCAGATGGTGAATTTGGTAATGCGCGATCCGCCAAAATCATAGGAGCGGCCAACGCTTCCGCTGCCAGCACTTTAGGAGAGGCATCTCGAGGGAGGATGACTGAAGCGTCCACGTAGAAACCTACGTCAGGGGTTTAGTCAGTATCTGCGGCTAAACTTTCAGAGGGTGGACTAACTGCACGACGTTAAAGATGCTGCCGAAGCCAGTGCAGCAAAGAAACCCTTCATGGTGGAAAATCTATGTAATTAAAGAAATACAAAAATGAAGCTGAGAATGAAAAGAAGTATCCCCGCTCTGGATTGATCTTTCAATGGGCGCTCGGAAAGCACGGGGGAGGTGGTGCCTGGCTATTAATGACGCAGGAGGCAGGGCGAACAGGGCAAGGGCCGGTTTGTCGGATTGTTGCAGTGTTTCATGCGCCCGCAGGCCAAGTGCAGCGGGGGGGGTCAATCAACTGCCCTCCAGCTGCGAATGGTCGAGTCTTGATCCCGCTCGCAAGATCTCGGGAGAACTTAGATTAAGCGCAGTGGAAGGATGCTATTCTGGCGTTCTCGACAAACCATACATAGGAGAGTGGATAAGTCACACAACAAAGCAAACAACAGTGGTGAACAACACATAACTTCGAATCACCCATTGAGCTCTATTTGTAGCTTCTCACATCTGACTGTGGATTGAGTACTAGTACCGGTATCTGGTAAATTGCCGGTTTGCCGATCGTGAGCTCAGCTGCTGACTAGAAATTGCCATCGACAACTTGGCTCCTCTCACGATGGCCCAACGGATCCATATTAGCGCCAACTGCGAAATTTCAAAGGATTTCTCTGAACCTTTCCAGAGCAACATAATAGGTGAACGATGATCTGTCGGATTAACTACGTCGGTGGTCTTGAAAATCTTTGATACCAGTACAAGTACACTGCTTGTTTTGGCTACCTGAAACTACACAAAGCCAATGACTGAGCTTCGATTTTGCGAACTGAAAGTCAATTGGGAAGCTCGGTGGCAAGAAGACTGACTAAGGCTGCGATTAGTGGTTTGCTAAAATAATACGAGGCTGAGCCTGCATTCTCGAGACACTTGATGATGTTGGTCAACGGTGAGTTGCTGCCAACTCAGAGAGAAACGGGCATTTCTTGGGCGAATATGCAGGTGTGGTGTGCCCCTTAAATAGATCCGCTAGGACAAGTAAGAGAGGTCTCCAACGCTTAAGTTTCCAAGAGAAATGACATCTGCGGAATAACTTTAGCGAACAGAGGCAGCGTCAATTTAACCTTCACCATGCTAAACGTATTTTTTAGCTCAAGTTAGATGATGTTGTTGGTGCCGCAGTTAGATTTCGACGACGAAAGGGTGCATACGGGAGGATTACTTAAACATACTGCATCGTGATTCATGCCGTTCCTGCATATGGGTTCGACTCTCGACGTGCTTTAATAGAAAAGAAAAGCGGTAGTAACTAGCCTTATTGCGCTAACTCATGAGAATAGTTATAGTTTGGAAATTCTAACACTGTATAAGAATGTAGATAATCAATTCAGCTTTCGACCCCAATTAGATTAGTTAGCCAGGAAATCTAGGTTGATTGCTTAGAAGGGTTTACAGCCACTTTCTTGTCTATCAGAAGCCATGGCAAAGCGCGAAATAATAAGAAAAAGAAGGAGGGACCGTAGTATTTAAGAATTGTGGTACCCATTCGTTACTGAGAGAATGTCAATATTCTTCGCTACAAATCACTCTAGGACTAAACCAGAACTGCTTGTCTGAGATAGCACCTGTCGGCTATTCTCTTGATCGACCTATTACAAGCACTGCACCAAATACTTATGCCGTATAAAGTATGATCAGAGTGCTCCGAAGTAACCGAGCCCATAACTATGTATACTTGGATAAGTTGGTTACTTCTGAGCACTTGAATACGGGTAGCCAGCAAGTGAATAACTATACCTAGATTTAATTTCTACGAACTTACTATTAGTTACCTGAGTAAATATGCTTGTTCTCAACGGGTCTCAGTGTTTTCGACTTATTCCCAGGACAATATCGCTTCAATCTATAGTAGATTACTAAATATGAAATAAAAAGAAGCGAGAGATCAATAAGTAATCATGCAAAGTCGGCTCCCTTTTCAGCTCAGGCTTTCTGAGGTTAAACAGGTGAAACATGACCAACGAAAAGTCACGGGGAAGCGGCACCGAGCCCTGGAGATTGTTGGTATGGCAACGCGCGATAAACAAAAACAGCTTCAACGACCTCCAACCAGCCCAGCCCCCTCAAATTGAACATCATCACATACAACAACAACAAGAATCACGACGCGTCGATGTGATACTACTTTCATCAAAAACATCCTTCCTACTAACCGAAGTCAATCGCAATGAACGATCAATCGCCCCCTAAACGTGTCACACGCGCCAGAGCGGCTGCGAAAACCTCTGATGCTGGCGTCAAGATCGCGACTGCCGCCTCCAAGGCAAAGCTTACCCAGGCTGCCTCGACAAACAAGCGCAAGACCAGAGCTCAAGATGAACAAGAGGAGGACGAACTAGCCGATATGCCCAGAACAATCGAACCAGAACCCACACGAGCGACCCGCGGGAGGGTCAAGAAGGCCCCAGAACCCGCAATGAACGAACCTGCACCGGTTGCTCCGAAGTCAACAAGAGGACGGCCCAAGAAGGCTGCCACAGAAATGCCTGCGCCGCCAGCCGAACCTACAAGATCGTTGCGTGGTCGAGCGACAAAGATTGAGGTCACTGACGAGACCCCAATCGCCGAGGCACCAAAAAGAGCCGTACGAACTCGCGCCGCGACAATCACCAAAGCACCACCCAAGAAGAGCGTCAAGTTTGAGGAACCCGATAAAGAGAATGTTCTTCCAGTTGCTGCAGGCGCAAAAGGCAAGGGAAAAGCTGCCGAAGCTTCAACAGGACTTCGAGCCAAGCCGGTTCGAAAGCCTGCTGCTGCCGCTCGAGCTACCCGTGGCCGTGGAAAGGCTACCACAGATGAAAAAGAGGAAAAAGAAGAAAAGTCTTCTCCACTCAGCCCAAAGAAAGCCACGCAAGTTGGAGCAACGAAGGGACACGCTTCAGATGATGAGCTTGCAATTGCGGAAAAGACTCCGATGCAACCACTCATGAAGAGTCCTGTCAAACCACCAGGAAGTATTTTCAACACAGCCAAGAAACTGGACTTCTCCAATTCCATGTCCGCCCACAGGGCTGTTAGCGATGTGACACAGGATCTGGGAACAGCGGTTATGGGTAGTCCAGCACGTCGTCCCCCTCAATCGCCATTCAAAGACGCGATCAAGGCAGCACCTGTAAAGATCACTCTTGGAGACTCCGTCCTCAAGTCACCCTTCAAGCTATCACTTCCACCACCCACAACTACTACAGACGCCAAACCAAATCTCAAAGCATCCCTACTGCACTCCCCAGCAAGACGACCACAGTCTCCAATGAAAGTTTCTGAAAATGGTTCTCCTAGCAGGTCGACCAGTTCCAAAACTCTTTTTGCTTCAACTCCCAAAGTAAGCACCTTGAAGATGTCAAAGTTCACGACGCCTAGGACTATCAACAAGAGTGTTCCACCACCAAGTGCGATGGTACCTGCCAGTATTGCAAAGCCGCATGCAGAAGACATTCCAGAAACTGACGAGAATTCCGAGCTTTTCAAGTCGCCTGCTCAATTAAACCTTGAGTTCTCTGGCCGACTCTCTTCCATTGTGCCTCGAGATGTTGACCCAGATGCTGTTTTACCGGAGGGATTGACGGGTGCGGCAACAGTGCCAATCGCTGAGCTCGAACCTGTCGACGACACAGTAGTACATGGATCTGCCGAAGTACTTAAGGTTGAGGAATCTGCTGAGCAGCTCGTTTCTGAAGAGGTTCCTGCACTTGGAAGTACAACACCTTCAGCTTCTCCATCAGGATACAGCACCGGTACATATGTTCCTCGTGAAGAGGATGAAAATCCTTTCGAGGATACCGACTCAGAAGATGAGCTCGCTTCAGACTCTTCCCAATATGCAGTTGGTCCATTTTCCGGATTCAGAAGTGCATCTCATGATTTTGAATCATACCCGTCTACACCCTTTACTGCAATTGCCAAGACCCCTAGGACTGCAAAGACTATTCGTCATTCGTCAGAAAAGACACCATCCCGCGCAGACAAGCTTGGATTTACTCCGTTGGCTCAGCAATTGAGCGACTGGATGGCTGCTAGCCCAGCGAAAGCAGAAGAGGAGAAGGCAGATCAAGCAACCCCCACAAACATCAAGAAGAATGCCGGAGTTGAGTCCATCGCTGTCACAGCACAACATTCCCCCGCGAAGAGTACTTACTTTGATGACGAGATGTCTGTTCGTGAGGAGCTAGCCTCAGAGCCTGAACCAGCGGAATTGGAGCCCGATATTCTTGAAGGCAATTTCAGCGCCCCGGAACTTGACGACGAGGACTTGGATTTAGCCTATGAAGCTGATGAGATGTCCCTTCTTGAACCTGAACAAATAGAGGCGCTAGAGGCTGCAGCAGAAGAGCAAGAGGAGATTGAAGCAGCACTTTCAGAAGCTAGTCAGGAGTACGGCAACGAAAACGATACGCCCATTGATCCAGCATTGTTGTCGCTTCCCCCACCAGCTCCAACATTCTTCGCAACACCCAAACGTGTTTTGTCTGAAAGAGTCTGCCACACAGTCTCTAAGGTTCCTCTCAAGCCTGCAGCAGATGACACCCCAATTCGCCCTTCGCCGAAGAAGCGCAGTGCAAGCATCTCCCGCCTTCCAGTCCAAAGACCTTCTGGCGATCTCAAGCGTAACAATACTGTGATATCCTATTCGCCGTCTAAAGCTACAGCTACTCCACGTGCCCGCCCTCAAAAAAAAGCCGATGATTTCGAGATGCAAGATGCATGCACCACTCCTACTAAGGAAGACACTGCAATGTGGTCAACACTCGGAACGCCACCACGTACTCCCCGTCGCGATGTCAATACTGCTCTCTTGAAAGGGGCAGTAGTATTTGTGGATGTCCATACTACCGAAGGAGCCGATGCCAGTGTTCTTTTCAATGAGCTTTTGTCTCAAATGGGTGCCAGATGTGTAAAGTCTTGGAACTGGAACGGAAGTGCTGAAGATGGAAGTAAGGTTGGCATCACTCATGTAGTCTTCAAGGACGGTGGAAGGAGGACTCTTGAAAGAGTAAGGGAGACTGGTGGAGTTGTGGCCTGTGTTGGTGTTGGATGGGTCTTGGAGTAAGTTTTATCATATCTTTGGAAGCTTTGAGATGTAGGCTGACATGATTACAGTTGCGAACGTGAAAACAAGTGGGTAGATGAGGCACCTTATGCCGTTGATACAAGTCTTGTTCCCCGAGGGGGTCATCGAAGACGAAAAAGTATGGAGCCACGCGCGTTAGCCAACCTCAACGGTACTCTTGTTCCCTCGGCTACATCATCTCGTGCTTCCAACATGTCTCCAACGAAGGAATTCCTGAACTTGGAGACCCCATACATAGCGAAATCTAAGCGTCGTGAATCCATTCAGTGGGTCCAATCGCCAGCGTCAGGTGAAAATGATGAGTTGGCTGATGAGACTCTTATGCTCTCTCCAATTCCAGCGACACCAGCGCCTGAGATGTTTTCTTCATATGGAGAGGATGGACTTTACGGAGATGAAACCCCTGCCGGCCAAACTCCTTACTTTTTGCACAACCAAAACCTTGTTCAGAAGACAGCCCCTCCTGCTAAAGGTAAGCAATTCAGCATCGGTGGCGTGGAAGAAAACGAAAACCACTCGGGAGTTAGCAGTGCGTTCTTGAGTGAGAAAAAAGACCCAAGTGTCATGATGAGGTTAATGGCTGCTCGGAGAAAGAGTCTTCAATGGGCTCCAAAAGTTGGAAGTCCGCTTGCACGAGGCAATGAGTGGTAAAGATTATGCTAGCATTTTATGTTATTGGAGTATGGTTTGTAAGTGTATTGGATGTATCCTTTCAGCAAGCCGGGTCATTTGGAGAGGGAGGCTGGCGTTTTTGACCTGGGCGAACTTGGACATTCGTCGGTCGTTGATTATTTGCTTGGTTGTTAAAGTTAAATTGAACATTTCTACGTACCCCTGTCTTCTTTCCATTACTCGTTATACTACTTGCTTGATTGAATTCAAGGCATTCGAGATATAATAAGCGGAACCGTAGTTGTTTTCGGGCAATACTCCCTGGCTAAATATTTCCGAGGAATGATAGCAATGGTCCGCAAAGGCTCAGGAGAGTGTAGAAATCGACTTGTTGAATCACATACCTTCTTGTACAGTACAGTACAATTCCGAAAATTATTTAGTACAATCCTTCAACAAAGGACAAGTAAACGGTAAGTAGTTATTTCAAACAGGGCTAAGTATTCTTGACAAGGACTCGCCCCACTTTCCCCGGCCCCCGCTTCCCCGCTTTGCGTGTAGAAATGTGAACCGGGGGAGAAGCCAAATACAAAGCTTGAATGTATATAAAGTACTTTGTTTATTAAAACTCCTCCCTGTTGACCCGAACAGACACATACATTTGCCTCGAGTATAACCATGCAAACCATGGGAAGAAGCAATTCTGAATCCTCCAACCCCGTCTCGACAGTTACCACTTCCTTCCGCACGCGCGCGAGGAAGAGGACGGCTCATGCTTGTGAGGCGTGTCGGACGAGGAAGTCACGTTGTGATGGTCAGCAACCTTGTGCTTGGTGTACGGAGAATGATGTGGATTGCGTTTATGGACGTCAGCAGCAGATGAGTGGGTGAGTAGGTGTGAGAACTTTTGATGATGTGAATTGAGTTTAGGAGTTTTCTATACTGACTGTGAGGTTGTTTTTTAGGAATGGGCAGGGGCTAAATCAGGGGAAGAGTGATAAGATTCTTGAGACGGTTTTGCGGATGGATGCGTTGCTGAATTCTATTCATAATGATTTGGTAGCTATTTTTTACATCTATAATCTTATTTTCCTCTCGTAAAATGGAGAGAGACTTATGAAAATAGCAGCGAGATCCGACAAGATCATTGCAGGATCGAGGTTCCTTCTCCCCAAACGCCATCACAGAAACCACACCTTCAGACCAAGACTTCGAAAGAGTCGCCAACGCCAGTCTCCCCTCGCACGTAAGCGCCACCGAAGACCTCCTCTCCTCCACCCTCGCCCAGCCATTCCCCTCCCTCATCGAGCAATTCCGGCCCATCTTCCTCCTAGAAAGTAAACGCACACCACTCCCCTTCCAAAACCGCTTCACACGCAGTCCAGTCTTCACGCCCGAGGAAGCGAATCGTCTAATTGCCTCTTTTCAAGCGACGGTTAACTTTTGGTATCCGTGTGTTAGTAAGGCTACGCTTGATGTGCTTTTTGATCGTGTACAAAGTGGGTTTACGGAGGGTAGTTGTGAGGATTGTTTGGCGTTGTTGGTTTTGGCCCTCGGGGCTGCGAGTGAGTTGGTTGTTGAGTGTGCTAATGTGGAGGATGAGTATAGGAGTTTTGAGGTGAGACAGGTGCAGAATGAGTTGAGTAATATGGCGAATGTTTGTTTTGATGGTAGGTGTTCCAAAATATATTTTTATCCTCTGTTCGGTTATTCTGAGAGGGTGGAACTTAGCAATCTCACTTGGAATTAGATTTGTCTTACACTTCTAATACTGGGTGTAATAGAAATGCTGACAATATACAACTTCCCAGAGGCGAATAAACTGCTGGTTGTGGCGTGTATGGAGGTCAGCACCATTTCTGCTCAGTGCGTGTTTCTCGCTTCGTGAGTTTCCTGTATTGTCTACTTTTCGTTCTGAAAGTCGCTAATGTTCAAAAGCCTATTTTGCTCCTTTCTTCAACGACCACTACAAACATGGAGTTATATATGTATAGTGGCCTCGAAATGTCGGTCTTTGCTTGAGTACGGAACAGGGTCCAGTAATTTTGAAGATGAAGAATGCGTTAAGCGTATGTTCTGGTCATGCTATATCATTGAAGTACTCCAGTTTTCACTACTGGTCTGGGAATCACCACTAATTGAAAACACAGAGCGATTTATTATCTGAACTCTCACATCTCCCCCAAACAGGAGTAGCAGAAGTCGAATCCCGCACACCCCTCCCTTCACCCCTTCAAACCCATCAATCCAACACCGAAACCGAGTCCTCAGCCCTATACTTCCTATCATGTATCTCCATCCGCCGACTCCTAAATCGCGTCCATCACCTCCTCTATTCATCTAAAACCCACTCCAAAAACGCCCCAACAACCACGATAACCGACTCGTTACGAGGAATGATCGCCGAGCTTTCACACCAACTTCTCCTATGGAGAGAAACCTTGCCAGATTTCTTGCAGTTTGAGGAAGGGGCCAAGGAATGCTCGAATCAATATTCTGCTTTTCTGAGACAGAGATATCTTGCTTGTAAGAGCGTGATTTATAGACCTTACGTGGAGATGTTACTTCATGATCGAGAGGGTGTTAGCGGTGGGGAGATTGTGGAGGGGGCGATGAGGTGTCTGAGTGCTAGTTGTTATCACATTGGATATCTGAGGAGTTTCAGTCAGGTCTGTTTTCCTTCCTCTCCTCCCTCTTCCATCTCACTGTTCCCAAATTCCCAGCTCCACATACATCATCTCTCTCAAAGGGTGGCCTAACGGGTATAACAGACAGTAATGATAGACACATGGATCTGCTCCCTCTCCATGACATCAACCATGTTCATCCTCCTCGTCTCCCTCCAAACTCCCGCTTTACGACAGACACTCCTCTCACAACATTCCATTCTCGATTTTGGAACGCATCTGCAGAGACTGTTGCGTTCTTGGATTAGTATTGTGCCGGATAAGAGTCCTAGTATTCAGCAATCTGTGCGGTTGATTGCGGAGATTGATCGCTTGATTAGAGGGGGTTTGTAAATAGTTTGAGGTTTGTGGGAATTTGAGCGTGCTTTTTTTGGGAGCGGGTGGCGTGGGTTGGGGGGGGGG